ATCTTACTCATAGACTCCAACTCTAATACAATTAATAAAGTTCATAGACATCAAAGCTTTAGAAAGTAATCTTCTTTTATTAGCTAAATAATGTAATTTAAAAAATGATCCACTTTGACTTGGATCTAAAGCATAGGCAAAATGCATTTGATATTTAAAAATAAACACACTGCTATTTGCCTAATTTCCCCAAGAGGAAGAATAATTTCAAATAGAATTTTTCACTGTCCAGTTGTAGTGCTCTTAGAATCAGTTCCAGTTCCAGAAAAAAAATTTTTTTTCCAATCTTTTCCAAGGATAAAAGACAAACCAAAATGAAATCTTCCCCACCTCCATATTCATTACATACCCAGAACAGAGTGAGTTAAATCTTATTTTTTTAGGATGTCACAGTGAGATAATACGTCTGCTTTTTACATACCTCCAAATTAGACTAGATAGAAAAAGTTACAAAATAGCCTTAATCAAGCAACTACCTTTACCTTACTTTTTCTTATCTAAATACTATTTTGGGATATTGAGGTTGGGCGTAAGGAGAGATCAATTAAATATACATATTTTTTAATGAAAAGATACATAACAATAATACTTAATGGAAAAAAAATTCACAAAACAAAATTGCTGGTAACTTTATTTCAAAAACAAAAGTGGGTTTTCTCTCTCATATTCTTGCCCTTGGGATTCCTGGGTGGAAGGAGCAGAACCCAGCACATGTGGTAATCACCCAGTGTTTCTACAGCACTAAAGGAAAAGGCAGTGCTGCCCTGTCAAGACTGGGGAGAGGCTGGGTCTGCTCCTTCTCCCAGCCCCTCTTTTCAATAACAGAGTTATTTCTCTCCCAAACCCTGCTGTAGATATGGCCAGGACGTTCTAACTCTCCAAGGCTTTCCCACAATTTTTTATAGGCCCAGGATATCTTAATCTGATTACAAACATTACAGTGAGCCACAAGGCCCTACAAATTTTGTCCCACCTCTCCCCACTTCCTGCTACCTCTGACCTCACTTCTGCCCTCACTCACCTGCTCCAGGCAGACTGGCTTCCCTTACAGGCCACTGCACCAGCCCTTCCCTTTGCCTGGGACACTCGAGACCCAAATCCAATAACCTTCTCACTGAGGCTTTCCTGACCACTCCATTTTAAATTGCAATTCTCTACCCCTGCACTCCCTATCTCCCTTACGCGCTTTATTTTTCCCCATAACACTTATGGCCACATGATATCCTACACGTTTTTCCTTACTTGTTCATTGTCCGTCTCTGCTCACTACAAGGCCAGCATATGAGGTCAGGGACTTCTGTCTGTCTGTTCACTGCTATGTCCCCAGCATCTACGACACTGCCTGGCACATAGTGAGAGCTCAAAAATTATCTGTGGAATAAATAAATGATTCCAAGTTCGGGAAATAATGTTGGTATCCATCAAATGTTTATTAGACACTAAAAACACAAAATTATACAAGATGATGTCAAATATCAATAGTGCAAAAAATAGGGTCTCAATGCTTTGAAGGAGTATAGTTGGAGAAACAGAACTAATATACATGGAGTAATTAGTTAATTACATAGGTGGTATTGGGTATGACTATTAACTAATTAGGTTTATTTATACATGACTCACGGAATCTGCCTTGTTATTCATGATTATACCTAGTGCATAATTAAATGCTGAGTCGTATGGTATAAACTTGTCACAAGAATTCAGAGGGGAAAAAAATGAATGAGTTGCAATAGTAAGAAAAGACTGTGGGCAGATGAGGAAGTTTGATATGGGGTTTGTGGATGTAGAGGCATGTACTGGGAGGTGGGCAAGCGTTCCAGATGAAGCAAATTTCATGAGAGGACATAAAGGCATGTGAGGGATGGTAAGAAACCTACCTTAATTGGAAAGATGGCATTCACTGATGAGTAGCAATGATCTGGGGAAGACAATTTGAGCGGGCCTAAGTCACAGAGGGCCTAATCCTCCGAGCAGAGGACTCAAATCTGGGTGGAATCTCATAGCACACGCTGTCGGTGCCCTGCCTGGGTCCTCTAGAACCCTTCTCCTAATTTAGTACACCCACCCCCAAGGTGCTCTCTGCATTGCTGCTAATGGTTCACACCAGCAACTTTCTGTGGAAGCAACAGAAGCTACCTCCTAGCCTTCCCCTGCATATGCACGCACTCTCTCACACACACACACACACACACACACACACACACACACACACACACTCTTTCAGGACAGCTGGAGGCCAATGGCTAACAAATGCAGGGAAGGGGGGACAAAAGCACAGTTCCTTTGCCTCAAGACATGACAGACTCTACGGTACAATTTTGTTCCCAAATTCCCTCCTGGATCAAGCTGAGGCTAGACATCCCCTGAAACCAAATCTTTGCTCATCTCAGTTTCTTCTTCCCAATCCTGCTTCACTTACTCCCTTGCAAGTAACATTTGAAAGAACTCCCTTAATATATGACTTGCACATGAATCCCATCTCAGATTCTGCTTCTAGGGAAACTGGACTCAGACAAGTCTGTACAGGAAAGTACTACATATTCACGTTTATGAAGAAAAGAGTTACACAGAGAAAGTACTGTTGTAGGTCATTCAGACTGGAAGGAGAATGCAGAGCAGTTTGGTTGGTGACAGGTGGGATAAAGAGGGTAAGGTGACTGGAGGCCAATTAAGGACGCTGTTGTTCCAATTCAGAAATAAGTGAAAGAAAACATATTTGCTTTGATATGCGAAAGGGACAGAACGTAAGAAGAGAATGGCCTTAGTATAGAAAAGAAATGAAGATAACTCTTCCAAGTTTTTTGTTTTTTTTTCTTAAAAGGCAAAAAAAGTATTTTTTCAGTAGCACTATCAATTGTACACCATGAATTCTCTTAAATGCAAATCTCTTTTCAGGCTGACATTTTCTAATACAGGAATTGTTCAAAAACCTGAGAAGAATTACAATGAATAACAACAGGACTCTAAAGTTCTCTCTCATATTTTGGGTCCCTGAATATCTATATTCAGAAATATGAAGACAAGATTAAGTAGTATCTCCAAATATTTATAACAAATTGGTTTATTAGATTTAGTATCTAAGTAGCTTTAAAGAATCGCTATTAGAGTCAGTAGCAGGTTACTTAAATTGGAAATGCATCCAAATGTGCTAACATCTGCTTTTTATCAACTCTTAGGGGACCCAGAAGTGTTTTCAATAGAAATTAAGATACTGGGTCCTTGGTCATAAAATAGGGAACACAATGTGAAAACAAGTAGGCTGGTATGAAAGAAATGATACACAGCCCAGGAAAAGAGCTCAGACCCTCCATAAACTTTCAACTTCAGAATTTGAGAAACTGCCCATCATCATCTGTATTTGTTTTGTTGATATCTGAGACAAGTTAACCTTCTTGACTTCTTCGTTCTCTTTCAAAATTCATACTTAGTAAAAATGACTACTTCTATTTAATTAGTAACAATTTTTGTGTTACATGTCTCAATATATAGAACAGAAAGGATACTACTGAAACAGAACTTTTTAGCAAGGTTATTTTTTCTCACTGATTACTCTAGTATGTATTAAAATGTATAGCTAATAGCTATCAAAATTTAAATACACATAACCTTCAATACAGCAGTCCCACTGAAAGGAATTTCTCCTCCAAAGACAAAAAAATACCTCAAAAAGGAAACTGGTAAGAAAGTCACGATACATCAAAGTAAATCTGTAAGTCTAAGTTCATAAAAATTTTTAAGACCACTTGTCCTCCAGACAATTACATATAATTTACCCTGTGTATATCCTTTAAATAGTCCCAGGAGAGACTCCAAGAAAAAAAGGTTCCATAGCCAAACACATTTGGAAAGTACCAAATATGTTATTCCCCTATTAAGGATTTACAATACACATGATAATTTATGGAAGACCATGACATATTTTGGGGAAAAAATGGTGTTTTCCAAATTTTCTAGAACACAGAACACTTTGAAGTCATCAAAAACAAGACTTCTTTAAAACCCTCCATAACCACCTGGTAGATGATAGCTACCTTCCTTATAAACCTGAGGGTTCAGAGCTATCGTTCAGGTACCTCTCTCCACTCCCTCTTTCTCCTCCCTTCCCCTCAGACCAAGATACTGAAGTGGTTCTAAGTTCATAATTCATAATAATCACAAGGACATTATTAAAATATCATTCTTTGTCCTGACTTCCAGATATTCTCATTCCTATCAGTATTTTTAACAAGCAATCCAGGTGATTTCAATGCAGGTCAAATGTTGGAATGCTCAAAATGCCTGATAATAGTATAAGCAATGAGATGATTAGCTATTTTATAATTGAGGCCAGAGTAACTTTAAAAAAAACAACAAGTTCAGGGCTGGTCCAGTGGTGTAGTGGTTAAGTTCGGTGCGCTCCGCTTTGGTGGCCCAGGTTCCCGGGTGCGGACCTACACCGCTCATCAAGCCATGCTGTGGCTGCGACCCACATACAAAATAGAGGAAGATGGACACAGATGTTAGCTCAGGGCCAATTTTCCTAACCAAAAACAAAACACACAATAAGTTCACAAAATCTGGACTTCAAAATGAGTATACTAAAAAATTATTTTTCTACCCAGGGAAAAAAGGGCAAAAGACATACTAAGAAAAGCCAAATCATACCTTAAAAGAATACCCTCTAATATATTGCCCATAATATTAAGTTAAGAGTTTTACCCTATAAGAATTCTTAGTCTGTGCTCCACTGACAAATTTCAGGAATTCTTAAATTCTCTGAAACTGTACAATTTTTATGAGTGTGTGAATACAGGCATTTTGGGGGGGGGAACAATCCAAAGTTTTCACCAATTCTCATACTGCTCGATTACCCAATTTAAGAGCCATTATTTTTGTTATTTATCTACCTGAAACAAAATGGTAGCAGAAACTGCTTCTTCGTTTAGACCATGAATCAGACACACAAAAACACATTCCTCAGTATTGTTTTCTCTCTTAAAGCCAAACAAGAAGCAATTTACCTTTGCAGAGTCATATTCAAAGAGCCTGTACAACCCTTAATCTTGTTCTGGGCTTCAAGATGAGTCATTCCTTGTGCACTTATTCCGTCAATGCTGAGAACCACATCGCCTATTCTTACATTTGCCTGGGATGCTTTGCCGCCATCTTTTAGCTGTAATACATAGATTTCATTAGAAGTGTCACTCTTTAAAAAATAAAGAATAATAAACACAAATGAAAATTATACTTTTGATTGTATTGAAAGAAAAGTATATTAATATACCATTAGACAAAGTAATAAAAGTTATCTTGCTTATAAAGTTAAAATTCAAATGACTTTCATGTTTATTTTCTTAAATTCTTATTTGCTCTCTAAAAAACTAAAATAATTTTCTAAGAAAGGTTCCCTGATAATTTCTCCATTTCTTTATTGTGTAACAGTAGTGTGTGACTGTTATGAATGAAGACGAGAAGTAGCCAAAGAAACCATGTGTCAGCAGAAAAGGAATGTAATCTGAATAGGGTATTTAATACCCTTTTAGAAATAATTTTTAAAATTCTTTAAACAGCTGTATTTTTGTTTGAACATAAAGAGTACTACAGATGGAGGATCTACTGAACAATCCTTCCTGTTGAGTCCAATTCATATCCAGTGTTTGGGGGACTGAATTCTTTTAGATCATAGGCCCAAGTATCTTTTATACTGGATGTGTCTCCTGCTCCAGGCATCAAGCACAAGGGGAAGGGGAAGCAGAAGTTGCGCCTGAGACTGTCAGACATTTGCGTACCACAGTCTTTAATCCCCAATCTTTCTTGCCTTCTCTATAAAATTTTCTATGTGTTTACATTATTCAGTTGGATTTCCTCCAAACTTCATGTGTATCTATTTTACTGCTCCAAAAGAAGCAAACAAATACAAAATTACAGTAAAATAAAAGATGATGCAATTTTAATAGATACTTAGAAACATGGAACAAGTGCAAATAAAAAGAAACCATTCTAATTCAAATGACAAGCTCAGAATTCACCAAGTACAAGCAGATCACACTGAATATTCGGTTGCTGGAAGATAGGTGAGACAAGGCCCAAAAAAGAAAGAAAGAAAATAACCAATATTCCTCTAATACTTAAAACTAAAGATTGCATACAGAGTTTCTACTAGGGATGATGAAAAAATTCTGGAAATGGATAGTGGTGATGATTGCACAACACTGTAAATGTACTTAATGCAACTTAATATACACTTAAAAATGAAAAATGGTTAATTGGTCACCTTTTATGATATGGATATTTTACCACAATTTTTAAAAGACTAAATATCTTGAAGAACATTTTACAAAAATTACTTTTTGATCAAAAAAAAAAAAATCCCTCAGAAAACTTAACAAGAACTGAGTGCTGGAATTCATAATTTGGAAGCAAAGCTTTATAAATACAACTGATAGTGCATGTTCAGTTAGGTTTTGATTACTATCAGTTGTCAAATTCTTTCTTTAAAAATAATGATCTAAGCAAACCAATCCTAATACATAAGAACAAGTATTTGGATCTAAAATCAAGAAAACAGTATTGACGGCTAGATCCACGGAGGCAGGGCCCATGTCTGTGTTTCTTCCCGACCATACCCTAAGGCTAGAAGTGTGCCTGACACCCTACAGACCTTCACGAAATATATGCTGAATGAATGGATGCTGTATATTTATTATTCAACACCAGCAAAATCTATGGTTTGTTTTAAATTGTGAAATTAGGAAAAACTAAAATTTAACATAATTTGAAACATTTCATTTAAAGATGTAGCTATCAAGTGATTGACACAGTTCTTGAAATTAGTGGTAAGAAAAAATATCTATTTGAGGAAGGATATGTAAAGTCTAACAGACATAAAGTGTAAAAAAAGATTCCAAACCTTTCAAGTGAAATATTCTCTATCACATACATAGTATATAGTGATTTTGTTTTCATCTTTATACTAACAGAAACAAACTAACAAAACAATTCCTCTCAGCTGCCCAGATAGTTAAGGGTAAAAAAAATTAATGAAATATTGACACTAAAGAAATTTCCAGGGGCCGGCCCAGTGGCACAAGCGGTTAAGTGCACACGCTCCGCTGCAGCGGCCTGGGGTTCGCTGGTTCGGATCCCGGGCGCGCACCACTGCACCGCTTGTCAAGCCATGCTGTGGCGCTGTGGCGGCGTCCCATATAAAGTGGAGGAAGGTGGGCACGGATGTTAGCCCAGGGCCAGTCTTCCTCAGCAAAAAAAGAGGAGGCTTGGCAGATGTTAGCTCAGAGCCGATCTTCCTCACAAAAAAAAAAGATTGTTAAAAAAGAGAAAAAAGAAATTTTCAGAGTAAAAAAACAGATCAAAATTTAACACATATCAAATTTATCAACATAGCTATATTATATATGCATATATGTATATATGTACACATACACCTTTTATTATATATTATATGATGACAAAGTAATTCCAAAATTCAACGAAAATTAAACGGACCAGATTTCAGGATCACAGGATCAAGAAGAAAATAATTAAGATAGAACTTTATTAAGTATATTTTAAAAATACTGTATGGGTAGACATTTATTAAAATATAAAAGCAATGTTTATGCGTGTGTTTGGGAGTAAGGAAAAAGTCTTTAAAAATAATAACTACGATATGGTTTTACTATATTAAATAATAGGTGTGGACTGTCTTTTATTAACTAGTATTTCTTTTTATTAAATAAATAATTTAATAACAGAAATACTAATTGTTCTTCTCTAACACAGAGAACTAAATTGTTTACATTGTGAAGGACATTTACAAAGAAAACAGTTCCTAAAGCCAGCAATGACACCCCCTTCTATGGGACTTATTTATGGGGCTGTTAAAATGATTATGTGAGACAACAGCTCAATGAAGGTGAGCTGTTATTATTATTCCCTTGATCTCAGATCACTAATCTGAGAAATGTGGGGGCTGTATTAGATGATCTCAAAAGCCTTCTATGGTCCCTTCCAGTTTAAAAGTTTATCTATCTGTGAGCTATCTACAAAAAGATATAGATCTAACCCTAAAATAAGAGTCAATCTGAAAGACGTTGTTGGTAGGGCAAGGGGTCATCTATTCTCTACTAAAATGAGCAAGTGAATTGAAATTTGAATGCTGATAATGAGAGAAAGTATAAATTTATCCTAGATTTTATTTTAGCCAAGAAGGGCAAGCATAAAAAAAAGATTTAACCAGAAACAGAATACAGCACAGCTAAATTACCTCACGATTCCTCACATAAAGTAGCCTTACAATAGAACACTGAAATCTATGGGCATTTGCTCTAAATGTACCCAACAAAAGCAATTTAAATACTCCCAGTTCAGTAGTAATATAAAGGTAATGAACAATGTAGAAAGAAAATAATCTAATCAAATCCAATATCATAACTAGATAAAACTGTTCTGGGCCGGCCCTGTGGCTTAGTGGTTAAGTGCGCGCGCTCCGCTGCTGGCGGGCCCGGGTTCGGATCCCAGGCGCGCACCAACGCACCGCTTCTCTGGCCATGTCGAGGCCGCGTCCTACATACAGCAACTAAAAGGATGTGCAACTATGACATACAACTACCTACTGGGACTTTGGGGGGAAAGAAAAAAGGAGGAGGACTGGCAATAGATGTTAGCTCAGAGCTGGTCTCCCTCAGCAAAAAAGAGGAGGATTAGCATGGATGTTAGCTCAGGGCTGATCTTCCTCACACACACACAAAAAAAACTGTTCTCACTCCTTTGTTCCAGCTGCCTACTAGACTCTGAGAACCTATAATCTTAAGATGTTCAAACCAACTTCTCAGAATTACCTACCCTTTTAGGACTGCTTTTACTGTAACTGCCACCCTTATTTTCAGATAGTGGAGTATAGAAATCTAACAGCCTCTGTGAATTCTGCCTCTTCCTTGGGTACTACATCTAGGAAAATTACTCAATTTTGTCAATCTTTCCTTTCCTCTCCCATGCTAGTTCATATCCTGATCATCTATCACCTTGATCTTGCCTATGGTCTACAGCAATAGTTTTCTCAAGACCTCCCTACTATCAAACTCTCCATATTCCTCCCTCTTTCACATTTCCATAATGGTGGCCCTACTACCACTTCACAGTGGAGAGTTCCAATCACGTCAACTACTTATAAAATGAGGGTGAAAAAACTGCAAATACCATCTGCTTCCTACAATGTAGAATAAAGCCAAAGTCTGAAATACAAACCATCTATAATTTGTTACCAACCTGTTTCCAATCTCAAAACAAGCTCCATAAGGCCAGGGAACATATTTTATAATTTGCTCTTCTCCGACAGCCTTGAATATTATAGCTATTAGAAAAATATCTGGGGCCGGCCCTGTGGCTTGGTGGTTAAGTGTGCACGCTGCGATGCTGGTGGCCCGGGTTCGGATCCCGGGTGCGCATCGAGGCACCACTTCTCCGTTCATCCTGAGGCTGAGTCCCACATACAGCAACTACAAGGATGTGCAGCTACGACATACAACTATCCACTGGGGCTTTGGGGGGAAAAATAAAATA